TGCGAATAGAGTCGCCGTAACAAAACTATGATAAAATCCCAGAAAAAAAGTATGCAATAGGTTCTGCGACCAACAAAGTGTACTTTGTCGCTCTGCGGGCTGCAACACTTCACGGACCGTTCCACAGGGTTAGCGGAATTACCATAAAAGCTCAAAAATATCGAATAGACGACATCCTCTCCCTTTTCACTGACTCCCTAATGGTGTACTTAGTATTTCAAGGGTTCACGAGCGGAGCATGCGCAGCACCACAAGCGTTGCAGCCATTTATTATGGCTGCATTCGCAGCGCCGACGCTGACGCCAAGGCACCGAAGTTTTTTTTTTTAATGAAAAGCAAATCCGAACCCAAGTGCAACAGCAAAACAATCAGTGCAAGAGCGAGGTGAACCAGGCGCATTATATGCATCAGTATGTGTTAAAATGGATATGAAGCATTGACATGCGAGATAGCGATCGATGCTTGGGGCCGTAAGGTATGCTCCCCCGAACAGGGAAGGTCCCCTTCCCGGTAAGGTATGCTCTCGGGGAGAGCAGAGAGATAGTTGCTCTCGGGAAGAGCAGAGAAAGAGAGACCCGAATCGGGGCGTCCCAGAACCGAACAGGAGAGCATATCTTACGGCCCCTGACGTCAGCATCGTCGTCCTGGCTATAAATGCAGCCTACCAGTCTTTATGACACTACCTACATAGCTAAAAGCAAATAGCAACACAATACTGTTAAGTAGCAACGATTCATCTGGTGAAACACCAGTGTTGCAAAAAACCAACAGTGAACGAAAATTCTTCATCAAAGCATAAGCCAATCGTTCATCACAATGCACCAGGTAGTTCATGTCAGATGATAGCACGAACATGAAATCATACGTTGCTTCTGGACGGCAGTTAACATAACTAAACCTATGCCGAAGCCTACACAATTAATATCACTTCTCTACAACTCTATATGAAACAAAACAAACATAGACTGATAACTAGACACTGTTCCTGCCTTCAGGAGAGTGAAACAATACTTACGGTCTCACAAAACACCTTCAACTTTCCACAACTGAAAGAGATGTTACACATGGGCAATGCAGATAAGGAAAACAATGTTAATTAGTCGCCTCATTTCGCATAACAAATTTGATATTGGTATTGGTCACTAATCTTTAATTGACACCACTGACACTTTTGAACACCTTTAATAGACACGAACTAGTCAATACTCATCGGAGGTAGGAAAGGCAGTTCTGCTTTTACATGTGTTCATTTGTATGCATGTAAATTTATAACCAATATTTATATATGTTCAACTGAAAACACAGAATTCATGTCCGAGACTCCGTAAAACCGAGAATGTATTTGAATAACTCGTAAACGGACCATGACAACGCCGTTGCTGGCACCTGAATACACCACAAATAATCAGCTTATCACTATGAAGTATTGCAGTAGCGAACAGCGCTTCTGATGCGTGGAATCAGCTGACGCCAAGTAAATAAACGACTAATGAAAGTAAGTACCTGGAAGATGACTCGTGCTTGCATGCCGCAAGCGAAACCAGCAGAACCTCGTTGTGAGTAAATAATTTTGAAGGCATCGAAAATATTTCGGTAGCTAGCAGTAATTGGAGAATGGATGCTTTGCTGAACAAGAATACTGTTTTTTGGTATACTTTCCACTTGAGATAACTGCAGAATCAACAGAATGTCACGATATATAAGTACATCTTAAGAGTAAGAAGGGACCATACGACTTCTAAAGACAGCAGCATGTCTATGAAGCAATTCTTTTTCTTTATTGAGAACACGAAACTCGGCCTCTTCCCGCCGTTGAAGACCAGCTTAGAGGGATGAAGCAGGATTATACCCCATGAAACATGCCCATTCTCTCCGTTTACGGACTGTGATGCCTCCAACCATAGTGCCTTGATCTTGCACATGTTGATTATCAAACACCGTATAAGGCATGCATGTGCAATTCACATGCTTGAGGCTCAAAATAGAATAGGACATGTCATTTTGAAGCCATCTGTATGGAGGGCAACACACGGTTTCAAATAATGATATCGATCGTTCGAGTGTACTGCTGCGCTGGAGAAAGGGTGAGAGGAAATTAGATAGCAGGCCAAGGAAGACAAAAGCAGTGGGAAGAAAATTCGCTCTAAGCATAGAGGACTGAAAAGGAGAGAGCTAGATGGAGTGTGAAGTTCCAAGTCCACATATCAATTTTTTTCCATTTAAGGGTGTGCATTTGGAACGACACACTCCCAGAGAGAAAATATTGAATTAACTAAAAGGACATGGTATATACATAAGTGCGGTGAAATTGCCAACACCAGCCGAAGACGACGAACAAGTTAGAGAAGATAGCAAACAAGTGATAAGAACACGATGTTATTTTCAATAATGCTAAACACCAAACAGCACATGATCAGTCAAACGGAGCACAAGAACTTAGTTCAAAACCATACCTTAAGAAGAATTTCCTTTTGACAAGTGAGTTCTGGTGTTTGCTGAGTATTCAGTACTGTTTTTACACAGTCCAAAGGTGTCGTTAACATGGCTGCTAATCCACCAGCCAGACCACCAGCAATCAGATGGGATTTCGGATCATATTGATGTTTTGGATTCAGGACCTGTTACACGTAAATTATGCAGTAGGATACCGCCAAATTGCTAAAACCAAACAATACCTGCTGCCAAAACTCATAGCTCATAAAGTGAACAGACTGGAATGGTATAGCCATAATCAACTGTGTCGTATATGATCTGTAGAAGGCTGCCATGCCTTCCCTCCGATAAATACAACGCACACACTCGAGGGACGACCCATAGGGAGAAAACTGCATCTGCATTCGTTGTTTAACGACCTGTAATGGGTGAAACATTTACATTGCACTCTAAGTTAAGCAAGAAATGAGAATGGTAAACCTCAGCAGGATTCATCACTGCATCATGGACTAGCGTTGCTACTACTCCAGCAGCACCATATGACAACGTATTCGCGTGACCAGCTGTGTTTCCGGTAAGAAAACCCTGCAAAATTGTAAAATGTAGATAATGAAGGGTTTTCGATAGAGAGCCTTACCTTTGTTTTCTCGTATACTGTAAAATAAAGAGCATGTGCAGGCATTGACCCAGCTGCGATCGCATTGACACCTCTCAATGGCCGCAACCAACCTTCCCTGAAACAAGCGAGACAGTAGGAAAGAGAACTGTACAATTCTACAAAAATTCCTATCATGTATCTAGTTTTCAGAAGCTTTGTAATGCCTTAGCAGTAAGTAAAATCCTTCCAGAAATCGTAAAAGGCAATAAAGCACGAAGAACTTAGGGCCTTCTCTACATTGACGTGGAACAGTAACTGAAAAAAGCGCCAAAGGAAATAAAAGTACCAAGAAATAATCACAAAACTTGAGAGTATACCTCCTCATAATATTCCATAATGAATGAACAGGGGTTGGGCACTTAGTTTCTGGGCAAGGACACAAACTTTGTAATCGTGTCTTGACGCTGTCAAATGGAAACATCACGCAGTGCTCAACAGCGCCAGCCATCGCACCTGCGACTAGGTGAACCTGAAGGATTAACGTTATTGAAATTCATTATCCTCTGCTGTTGCAAGTAATTAGAAATGTGTCCGAGAAAAAGAAGTTGAGGAGAAATCTCAAGCATAAAAACCCACTTCAATTTAGAAACTTACCCCAACATTGTGAGTGGGCAGGGTTTCGTATTCCTCTTCACCCATGCTGCAATATATCAAAGCTTTCTTCCGATAAATTATCACGAAAATTATCCACATTGGAGTTATGGAAAAGATACAATGGTTCCAACCTTTGGCAACGATCCAAGATTTATAACAACTTTTATTTGCAGATCATCAAATAAGAGGCAACAAGGAACAGCTCAACCATAATGCAAAACAAGGATAACAGCGAATTAACAATTACAATTATTATAATAAACAGTGTTCTCAAAAACGAAATTGCAAATCACAGCCTCAAAATTAAATGGGTGTCACCAGCTTGGATCCGGCTTTCGTTTGAATACAGCGTGGAACTTTTCCCCATTGTTCCGNGCACTGGCTCATCAAGCGTTTTAATTTTAATACCTTACTACGGCTATAAACCGCTGAGTGTGAAATTGGAGAACCCAAAGAAAACTAAGCAAACCACTTCCTATAGAAACAATTTAGTGGAAAAACGTAGAGTTGCTCATGTTAAAACCACCGTTGCCATCGAAATCGACTCATCTTCTCGTTTTTGGTAAAAAATTCCGTCTTTTAACAAAAAAAAAAGGTGCCAAGATCGCGCCAAAAGGAGAATCATTACAAACGCAACGTTCCAGCGACCAAACCATAGAAATAAGTGTTCAGCGCTTTGAAATTCACATGATATTTTCACGACTGTTACACAGCGAGGGCAAAAAAGATCGAAAAAGGTCAAAGACAGAGCACGCGCTGTTGCTTGATAAGTCTATTCATGTTGGCAAGATAAGAAGACTTCAGCATAACGCAGGCCGTGGCAGAAAAACAAATACACTTCGTGGCGCAACAGAGAGCGAAAGCACAGGCGCGTGAGGACTGAACCGGTCTTCACTATTCGTAGCCGATTATACATGATATGAATGAGACTCGTAGTTCCGTTCATCAAAAGATGAAAATCAATATGTGAGCCGCAATAAGGCCGTTCCGTGGTCGATTTCCTGCTTTAGTTCTTTCTAGCACTAAGTACACTGTCGCCAAGGCCGTGCCCTTTGAATTGAGGTCCTCGGGCGCTACAAACAAATGTGCATGGGCTAGACAGCTTGAGAGATCAGTTGAAATGCATGCCGTGGTGAGTAGGTATTTTCTGCTCTATTGACTCTTAAAGCCCAAACAGAACTCCCATAAAAATGTAATACAAANAAACGTTCTCTACGCCGAAGCTCGTTTTCTATTCAGTGTATATTCAACTGGATAGTGTATAACGTCATACCTCCCGGTCGCAGCACATATGCGTATACGGCCAATAATCCGGGAGTGATAATTCGCCATTTGTGCTTCTTATTTTTGAAATGTGGATCAGGAAATAAGAAGAACATTTTCGACAGCTGATGTTTTTTGAAGTAATTTGGCAAGTACTTCATAGCGTTCGAACGCAAACAGGCAACATTCTGATATCCATTCGTATCTGCATGGCGTGCTCTCAGAGCTTTGATTTTCTCCGACACGAAATCAGAAACCTTAAAATCATAAATTAAAAACACATATGACGCTGTTTCTTCAGCCAAAAAAAACTCTTTAAGATATATTGAATATGAATGAGAGAGAAGTATTCACCTTCACGCGCAATTCTAGCCCAACCATTAGAACTTCAGGGAACATAGGCGATAATTTCATAAGCAGACCGCCATAGCCGCAGCCGATATCGGCAAACTCAACCTGTCTGCCCTTGGCGTAATCACCGAACAGTTTTGACCAGTCCATCCTATAAATTATGCAAAATAACCAATACACTAGGTACATGGGACTTTAGAGAAACGGAACACTTACTCGTCCGGTGTTCTCGGATAGTCTATGTCATGGTCAGAGTGAGGATTTGAATGGGCTCGCTGCCTTAATGAAAAAATGTATTGAAAATGGGAAACAAGCTATTATAGAAAATGTGAATAAGATGAGTTGGAATACAAGTTTAAATTTCTGAATGAAAATTGAACAGAAGGTAAGACTCCCTTCTGTACCAATATCGATATAGAAGGATAGGTTTTATTCGTTTACCTATTCTTCTATTCCATTCTATTTGTTTTTATTCAATATTACCAACTAAAACAGACCGATAAAACTTCTTTTGCGGCAACGCAGGAACAGAAGCGGCTTCTTGCTCTGGAACTCGGCCTTCCAACTCCATTCCCTGAGGTCAAGTCTAACTAATGATTCAACCTAGACACGAGCGAGAATGCTTAAAAACAAAAATAAAATAGAGCGATAATGGTAAAAACCAAACAAGCAGCGAATCACAAGTATTAAGTGAAGATTGTTCATTGATAAGCCATTTTAAGTGAAAATGTGAAGACATAATTCATCGAACGGTAAAGACATACATTACAAATGATGGAAAACCCGAATGAAGTTATCTTTTGCACAAAAAAATAGCAGCTACATCGCAAGAGGGTTACTGAGAAATGCACTTATGAAGCAAACTACGAATCGACTTCATATATATAGCATGAAGTGTAAATTTGAAACGTCTTCTACGTCACCGTTCGCTTTGGCGAAAGTAGACATCCCGTTTAAAAGGGGCACCTAGATTGTTACACATTTGAGGCATCTAATTAAGAATCGTATCGACTTCTGATTTTCGTGATACCTAATTGAACCGGATCGACGGAGCCACTGATTTGAAAGAAATCATGAAGAAAGAGCACGGTTTAAAGTGGGAAATGTCATGAATAAATGTTCTGTGCTGCAGATTGTGGTAGAGGATAGGCAAAAAAATAACAACTCTTTGAAGAAAAGGACGCGTTCAATTCCTGATTGCATCTCTCTGAAACGAATAAGCAGATAGGAGACGACGAAAGTTGTCGGAAAGTCGCTGCACTTCCCAATCACTTTCGGGTTCACACTAGGTTGTAATGTCCCTCTTTTCGCAGATGCAGAAATGTTTGAGTTAGTCTACTCAAAAAGAATAGGTATTCTAGTTACCCGATGCAACCAATAATGTTACTCATATTACACCCTTCTTGGTCTCGCTAATATTTCCTTGAGATATAATCGAGATTTAAACCGGCTTTAAACATGACGCAGGCTTTTCAGGATATCCCCATTTATCTCATAAGCAATGATAACGACTTTAAAAGATAGTATTGACGCTAAGGCAGAATTGAGCGGCNTGACTGCAACACAAAAAATGTGAACCTTACAGGAGTTACAATCATTTCAATTTCACCATCTCCTTCTGGCCAGGACAACGCACAACGATGTTACCCTGATCATCGTAACGAATTTTCGGTATAAAAGGCTTCTTCGGGCTTGATCTCAAGCTGCAACATAACCTTTGACTGAATTTTCATAAATAAGTGCGAAATGTATCTCACCTGTCCTCCAAACGTTTCAATGTTATGGCACTGGGATAGAAAATTTCTTCTGGATCAAGATCATACCAAGTAAACTCTTCAGGCTGAAAAATCGAGTTGAAAATCTGAGTACTACAAAAACTAAAGGTGGTCCGTATCGTCACACTTACTGAGTTTCCGGGGTTGATAAGAGTTCCGGCTGGGATATCAGTGAACTTTATCGTCGCGAGACAGTCTCTGTTCGTACATTCCAAAATATTTCGACCGTCCAGTCGTCCAGTATTTACCACACGCACCCGTTTGCAATTACAGTGAGGACACGGTTTCACATATGATGCGTATGATGAATGTGAGTGACTGGTTTTATTTTCCTGAGAAAGCTTCGATAAGCACGGTAAAGAAACAAATGACAAACGCGTGTGGCTCACAGATTTGGTATGTTTAGCCTTTGAAGATTTCTTGCTCTTTGACGAAGGAGTCTCACTTGTTCCGTTAGCTTTACTTGACGAAGGCGTTGAGGCGAGAGAGGGACGAGGAGGTGATTTAGTCAGGAGCTCAACACGAAGTTGCTCTGAATAAGTCATGCTCACAGATTTCGCAAGAAGATAATTGTCGTTGAACAATGCTCAGTGACTCTTATTCTGAGTATTTTTAGATGAGGGAATAGTTTCCTGGCTATACTTCCGTTCGCTCTGACGAGAGCCTTCCGCTATAGCCAGCATGGCAACATGCAAGTTTGCGCTACAGCTCAGATTACTGTTAAGGAAACTTGTTCGGGTTTATTACTATCCATAGCAACACAAGTGTAGATGTCTTTGTTAGGGGACAAGGAACCTGAGGACTGCCTTCTATTAGGTGTGCCCATGAATTTCCGCCTTTTTCGCGTGCAAAAACATACTTATTATAAAATTAAAACTAAATGTACATTAACCAATGTATCGCCCATCGTTAGCTACAACTTCTTGGAATCTTCTGGTATCTTGTTGACTCCGGGTCTAAAAAAGTCTTCATCTTTTGAGGCAATCTTGTTATTCACCCATTTTCGCACTTCTTTCGCATTCCGGAAGCGTATAACTGCCAAACTGACTTGCATGGACCGGAATTGGTGGTAATCAGAAAGAGCAAGTTCCGGAGAGCGGAGAGCATGCGGGCTGAACAAGCTTATTCCATCCAATAACTGCAATTTTTTCAAAGGACATCCTTCGCAACTTGGTGTCCGGCATGTTCGTGGTGGAACGGCACCTTATGATATTTTCTTGCGATTAACGGCCGCTCTTAAGTGAGAGCATCCTACAAACTGTCAAGTTGGTGTTCGTAGCGGTCAGCAGTAACAGTTTCGTTCGGGCTAAGCAGCTCATAGTTCAAAACACCCTTTTGATCTCACCACCAAATGCACATACAGCATTACTTTTTGGCAATAAACATTCCGCTTTCGTTACAAGCTCCGAGCGAAGAGAAACTATCTCAGCAAGTTCGTTCAGATGAAGCTTGTCCTCCATAGAAGCATCCGGAGGGCTTCAATGCCAGTTTTGTTGAAATCAAACAGCAGGGGAAGGGCCCCCGGGAAAACGGTTCATCACGTTCCATGACCAAGCAGTCTGAGAGCAATAGGATTTTGGGGCAAAACTGATTTGTCTGCCCTTAAGTAGGTAGCCAATACCCTACGTCACAGAACATGACAGGTTTCACCGGTAAACCTCTAACATGGTTCGCGCAACGGCCCTTGGAATTCAGCGGCGGAATTTAATGCGCACACCTAATACTTAACAAAGAAATTCCCGTACAGCCCAGTAAATTCTCCAGTGCTTTCAAAATGAGAGGAAAAGCTCGATAGCTGACTCCTAGGCTCTCTGGAATCACAAAACTAACACAACTGGACATTTAATCATGTAAACCCTACCACTTTTTTCCTGTCAGAATCAGCGAACAGATGTCAAGTAGACATACCTGCTCCTCTCCTTCCTGGCTTCCCAACGTTCACCACTTCTTGACGACTGAGTTTCCTTATAAGGCGATACGAATCTTTCTTCATCTTGTCGAAATTTGTCAACAGGACGACCTGCGCAAGGTTGATATTTATTGTCTCCCTCGCATCACCTTCTCCAATTTCGAATTGCATTAGTGTATCCATTTTCCTGGAAAAAATCGGACATATGTATTCATATTTTAGTTAAAGCAAATATTACACGAAATCTGGCTTGAAGTTCTATTGATACAGCACGGTAATCAGTAGTCTCATGACAAGACAGGAACAGAGAGCTCTTAACCGCTGTACATGCAATCCCGATTCATGGAATTCATCGGTGATTCCGAACTGACATCTTATGCTGTGATATCTCTCAATCACCGCCTCAACTCTCGAAAGACCTTACCATTAGCAGTAGGTTTGAGAAATTGAGGGGATTACGAAAAGGATTAAGTGCGTATCGATCGGCAATTGACTACATTTTCTACTTCTCCCAGCCTTCATCCGATTCCAAGTGAAGAATGGAGAAAGCAAAATTTGAAAGGTACGCATCTTATCGCTGAAAAGACTTCAAAAACTGTAGGGTCAAGCACTGCTCACCCCAACCCAGCCGCTACTTGGGTTGTTAGTACGGCCACGATAATTTCAGGACTATAGTAGCTGCGAAACATTCAGAAGGCAAGATTTTATAAGAGGCTATGGTGACAGAGATTCCTCACTATGATTCCTTTTCTGAACCCTTCAAGCAACATTCCCTGAACCCAACTTGTCTGAAGCAACGAAAGGGGACATTCTTCTGTTCACGACAAATTTGAGACAAAGTAAGAGCCAAGCAACACTGAGGACATGGACGTATCTAACTACCAAGGTTAGGGCAGGGGAATCCTTGAAAACTACGCAAACAAAAGTGCGCAGGAGAAAATTCGAAGGCGGTCGAATTGTGCCGCGGCTGCGTCGCAGTCTCCGCGTTAGAGCGCATAAGTTGAGCCGAGCCATGAGCCAAAAGTTTCAAAATAAAAAGTTATTGGGTGCAGGTCAGTGGATATCGCCTGCTCATCTCAGTACACACGGAATGAGGGAATCTCCTTCAATTCAGGTTACTTCTCTCATCTCAGGCCCTCAGCACCCCCAAGCCGTAGCTTTTTTTTCTACCGTGAGTCGATATGCCGATCACTTTCTTTCGAGTAAGAAGAAACTATACTCAAGGCGCAAGAAAGAAACTCCCGAAAGACTTAGATTAAGATCTATTGAAGAAGCCCAACTGATACAGATTGTTCCAGAAGTGCGATTCAGGGCTTTCCCATAGAAGTGGGTAAGGGTACCCAGAAGGAACCAACCAATCAGGTCTGATCATAAACAGAAGAATCCGATTTAGCCCCAACCGTTCCTATAGTGCTAACCCGTCTAATCCGCTATTTGTTCCATATTAATCGCCTTGTCCTCTTCAGCTCTTCGTATGTACCTTTTATAGGTCTCGTCACGAGTTCACACTTTTCTGACTACGACATTTCAAAGTACGTAAGTGACCACACCTCCTGAACAACTCGTCCACCAGTGATCACCGCGCGAACAGGTAGCTCACGTAGATAGACCCCCTTTCCCATGGTCACAGTGGAAAAGGTTGGCAATCTATATCTGCACTGCTGCCAATTACAGACAATACAGCTATACAGAATAGATTCAATGTCCAAGGTTTATTATGGAGTCTAAAAATAACCCAATCACAGGGCTCGTTACTGGATATTTATATTCCCGTTGGAAGTGGATCTAAAGATTGGAGCTGCTATCGTTCAGAGGAGGGAAAATGATCATGTCGTGGTATAGGTTTCGGTAACTCCTGTCCCTGTTCTTCTGTCCACGCATATTCGTAGTGAACTTGGGTATTGAAGCACTTTAATGGTTGAATGGAGGGGTTTCGCTACATGGAGACAGAGTAGTTACTTCTGAAGCTGGCCTACTTACTCCAGATGGCCGTCGGACGTTGTCGCGGTCGCGACGTCGTCGGACGGACGTCGACGCCCGCCATGACCGCTCTCCCCATTCGTCAAGCGATCGATGCAGGCGTTTCGCGCTCGATACTCGCCGGTATTCCTCCCCGGTGCTATAATGATAACTGTTAGGATACCATGTCGTGTTTATGAATTTTTAATGGGATTTTCATCCAACTACCCATCAAGTTTTGTTCCGGTAGCATTGTAGAAGTAGTAAGAACAAATTCTGGCTGTTTTCTTGCATCGCAATGACGTTGACTCTATTTAGTCGAAGTTGGTTTGTTTTTTAGGTGTACTACACCTAGAACGTCGATTTTTAAAATTATAATCTTGGAGGAACTTGAAGATTTTTCACCGCTCATTTGAAAAGTCTCTGGAGTAAAAATTCCTTATCGATATGCTTTCCTTATCGTCACATTTTGAAATGTCGGATGTGGGGATGAAATTGTAGGGAAGTGTTGAACTCTTTNAAACAACAATAAACGTTCATTTAGCAACTCCTTCAGCGGAAGAAAACAATCATTTTGCTAAAGTTTTTTTTTGAAATTATCCCGTTAATTCGAAAAAAGTTCTCTGTCGAAGACTTTGATGCTTCCAACCTATTTAATGCCTTCTTGCTTTTTGCTAGCCAAGTTTTTGGCCGATTTCCATCACCTGTTGTTCGGCTTCGTTTTTTTCGACTGGATTACAGGTAATACAGCTTCTCCAATACAATACAATGGAGAGCGAATCGTGTATAAAGAAACTCCTTTAAAAATGATAAATAACTGTTAGTTGGTGACTATTGAAGGGTTTCGTTTACCATTGTATTTTGGCATGGTTGGAGATGAACAACCAAATGACATAGGTAAGTTGCTGCGAAAAGCAGAAGGTGCTCTAGAAGCTTTTTTCATTTATTGAAAGCAATTTTCAAGCCCATTGTGGGTGTTTTCTAAAAAGCATTTCACAATATTAAACAATCGGCAATTGAGGGATTCGAATCGATTATAATGGAGGATGGCTGTCTTTTTCCGTAAACTTTGAACTGCCCTTTGTGTTGATCATCTTCAGAAATTGTGACTCTTGTTACTTATTCAAATAGTTAAAACTGTTTACTAACTGCTACTGTTTGTGTGACAAACCGCTGAGAATCAAGGCCATTCGAGAACCATTGTTACTGTATCATGTAAGTGCTGCGTCCAGTCGATGGGAATCGAAATTTTCAGAGAGTTCTGGGTGACTTGAATCGTCATCTGAATTTCGTCGATTTTTATTTTAAGTTTGCTCTGTCTACGTTCGTCCATTNTTGTAGAAGCTCACTACTTCAGAACCTACAATAATGAACATCCACTTTGAAAGAGTCAGGATATGAGGCAAGGCTTGTTAAATTCATGGGTTTTGGGTTAGTGAAGCCGGCGTAAATTCATAAACAATTTTGACCACTTACTCATCGGTTGAAAGATTGCGATTATTGACTTAGTTCCGATAATTCTGTATGGATTTCTCTTTTGGGCCAATGCCAAGCTACTTGCTTTCACAATTGGGATGGAAGGATCATTTTGACAGCCACTCAATGTTACGATCATAGATCCGTCATGGATCGTTGTGGTCAGATGAGTGAATATTTTCCGATTGCTGATATTCGATCTTATTTTTCGCTCGTGACTCGCTACGATTTTGTAAATGTTGAACTTAATGTGTTCATTAGAATTTAGCTGCTTAAGGCGATGTCCGGGACGCCTTTGGTTCGTCCAGGAGGTCAACCTCAACTCGATTATGGAGCCGTACTTCCCTCTCAGCCAACAACCACTCGGTAGCTCGTGTTTGCTACTTTATTCAGCATGCTTTAGTGTGTTCATGTTCCCCGTCTTTCCTTTTCTCGGTTATTACCTCTGATTTCCCGGTTCTAATTGTATATTGGTATTGTTACCCATTACCATTGTTGCCTAGACGTAGTCTTCACTGTGTTCCGTTTGCTCATCCTTTCCTCTACATTGAGATTGTTGGTATTTGTTGATGTTGACATAATGTTATCAGGTATTTAAACACTTGTTTAGAACGACCCCGGACTCTGGGTTGGGAGCTGATGACCAAATGAGACATCAGGAACGTCGTGTTCCTCCACCAGGATTCGTGAGTTTTTGTTTTGTTGTTATTTTTCTTCCCTTTCCTTACTTCTTATTCAGAGCGGTATGGAATTGCCTGGTTAGTTGTATCCTAGACCAGACATTTGGATCAGGTGGCAGATCTTTCTTTCGATTGCTAATCTTTTAGTTTGGACCAGGCTTGGAGAAGCTTCCAGCATAGTAAATAATCCTGGCCTGTGCTCTCCCTATGCTACAAAGGCTGCCCCTTATGTGTGAGACGCGTCTAGCATCTATTTCTATCAGAAGTTTTATTTTTGTGCCCAACTCTTCTATCTTCTTCCTAACACAGCCTACACATGAGCAATGCTCCTTAGCATGATAATTTTCATCGCGTGGCTTTCGAGTTCGAATATTTCTGCTCTCAGTATCCTTGTGAACAGTGTGGTTAGTTTGGGATTGAACCCAAACAATGAAAATCGTTTTAAAATAAACATTGATTCAGGGTTGCGAAATTTTGTTGCCCGACGAATGCGACCAGATGTTACGGTTTATTTTGGGACTGGTACTACGACCTTGTTTAAGCTTGTAGGAGGAAAATCTGTTTGGTGGGAAGAGCATTCTTTTTTCAGAAGCGTTGTTCCAAGGGGTTCCTTTCATTGTTGATCAATGTCAACTCTTTGTTTTTTGCTGTTGCGACTAAATGTTTTGCCCATGATTAAGCATACCTGTCATAATCGTCTTTTGTTTCACCAGTTTAATTATGGCCATGCATAACTATCTGTTTAATCAGCGCTGTACATGGGGTAGTGATTGACTTGAACCGATGCGAATACGCATGGATGCGAAGAATTATGCTAGAGCTAGCCAAGGCCCACCCTTACAAGGCAGTGGCAAACGTGTTCATGTTTTAAGGGATGGGATGATTACGACGCCCTTTTCCTGTAGAGGGAGGCGTTCCTCTATCCTGTTCTCCTTGTCTTTTTCATGTTTGTAGTTCTGAGCAACGTTCTTTTTTTTGTTGTTCAAATCACGACCAAAAGGGGATTGATAACTAATCATAAAAAGCCATTTTCATCTGAGCTTTTGTGCAGAATTGTGCTTTAATCATACGGTTGCGCTAGACTACTTTTGCCTGTTCCTCCGAAAACTTTGATATTGTTAAGATGGTCATTTGTATATATCACGATAGCCAGAGCTATATTTGTGCAGGCTCATCCACCACCACAATACCTTCCTCAAGATGGTGCTGTTATGGGCCCAAATCACCAATCCGGACCTGGTGTATTCGGTATGTTTGATGAAATTTTTGTGAAAACTTACCCTATGGTTTTGTGTAATGTTGATGTTTTCTCTTGAAAGTTTGCTGTGTTTTGAAGGTTATCATTTGCAGGGCCGTGTGATGGCAATTTCGATAAGGAAAAGGTGCCGTTTCGTTTCCTTCATCGTTTCTCAATTCATAGCTTCTTTATAATTCGTAGGATATTCAAGTTTTCAGGTCACATATGATGGACCCACATCATTTCATCGCGGTATGCGCTATGAAAACGACTCTTCTATGATGGGCGGTGAACCAATTATGTTTAATAGGGTATGCTTGAATTTTTGTTGCTTCAGTGCTTGAGGTGTTTTATCGGAGTGTGACTATTCCTTCCCCACCAACATTTTATGAGACCAGGGACGGTGTTGAGGTAAGAGGCGCAGGATCATTTCTATCCGAACTGGGGTCATGTCTTAAAGGTGTAATACCATGGGTTAGGTAAGCCTAAAAAATTAGCCTTATAGTTAAATGAAATTCGAACTGCTGTAGGCTATATTTTCATGTTTTGGGAAAAATCGACTCCTTGAAGCCGACCTCAAAGAGAACAAAAGCGGTCTAAACAGACTGGAATTGATCAAAATTTGCAAGGTTGATCAAAATATTCCAAAAATGCAAAAGTATCGTTACAGGGACAAC